GTTCTCATGTCGTCCAAGCGCAGCAGCAAGGACGAATACGCAGAAGAAACAAAAATTTGAAACTTTGAGTAGCGCATCGTGTAGAGCTCGTCGAAAGGAATAAATTGCCATATTGTTGGCCTTCAACAGACATGAAATGACGTTGCAACGCAGTTTATGTGAAAGCCGGGGGATTATGGGACCCCAGGGTCTTGCTTTCCATAAGGTTCCAATCAAAGAAATGTATTTTATTTTTTAAGTACTGTGTGTATAATTATTTTTTACAGGGAAAATAAATAATTAAGTGACGTGATCAATGTGTGCATCTGCGTTTATACGGATATATTTCACCGTTTAATCTTTAAAAAAGTACGTTGCTGCTGATGATAGTGATGTTGCTATCTTTGCTGCTGGTGAGTGGTGGCGGTGATGGTGACAATGATGAGTGATGCATTAAACGGTCTTTGACACCCCCCACCAACCCGCACTGCCCACACCTCTGATTAGCGCGGTTGATTACGTACGGTGCAAAAGAAGTTCAACATACGTGGTGAAGTATACTCATGTAGTGTCGTCTGTGTATGTGAGTGGTGTGCGTCGCACACACAGTCAGCTGGAGACGAGGTGGTCACAGGAGGCACCGCTCTGCCCTTTTATTGTTGCCGAGCTCACGCCACCACTCGGGCCCCCTCTCTCTCCCACACTCGACCCCGCTGCCGCACGCCCCGTCCCAGACACGACCCTGTCCGCGTTGCACGGACGGCGTCGACCGGGACAGCCGACTACTGTCCGGCCGCGCAATGATCGGGCGAAGGCGGCGGCGACGAGGGCGGCGACGATGTCAGAGACGAGTGCATTCCCAGAACCGGCAGCCCAGAGCTCTCGCTCTCCGCTGCTTTTATTTACCTCGGCGCGACTTGGTCCCGCCATAGCCGCGCCTCCCTTCTCGAACCCTCTATAGGGTTCCAGGAGCTTCCACACGAGGTCTACCATGACCCTTGCCTCGGTTCCTCCGCCCTGCCTGCACACCCGCATGTATGCTCAGCGGCGTGTGCGCTAAGTGCCCACCTGCAGTTGCTGCTGCTGTCCAACAGTCAGCGCTATGTCACTACACTCATGTGAATGAAATGAGGTCTCGTGTCAAAGGACGAAAAATATTTAATGCTTTTATGAGTAACATTTGTTCAGTAATATTCCATCGACCATCAAGACTCTTTTTCAGAGGGGTTTGCTCTGGTCTGCTTTGCCGGTTCAGGAATGTGTCTGCACATCCGATTAAACTAATTTCGACAATGTTAATTTTACCAGGCATGGCCCACTGAGCTATGTAACTTTCAGCGACGCGACCTGGCCACAAATGACAACCCAACGAAGTTGGTGTGCAAATTTATTGCAGCCAAATACTCTAAACGCATGTTTCCGACGTGTTCAGAGGAAACCACCCAAGGGTTTAAGAGGGGATAGCATGCACCAGTCCGCACTTACGGGTTCAGGAACCCACATGAGTCTTCTCATGTAGTGAGACTCCTGTTGATATATTAAGTAAATTCCTCGCATTCCGAATAAGTTGCGCGCATCCTGCCAGGTTCATTTCAGTCGAATCTTTATAATGAAAAGTAGAAGGCCTCAGTGGAATGGATTTGACATCAGCGCAGCCCCTCGCACTGATTCGGTAAAAATAAAATCTCCCAAGGTGTCCGCACTTTGCTCTCTCACCTCTCTCTAGTGCGGACTCTTCGTGCACAGCAATCAAGCGGCGAGGGGGCATTAGCGCATGGAGAAGGTGCGACAAACTGAACGGAGGTAAATTACTGGAACAGCAATGGCACTGCGCTCAGGTTGTCTCAGCCTTAAAGGAGTACCCGGTGTGATGTGGAAATACCAGCACTGGGGAGACAAAGGCGGCCGAGCGTGGTTGTTGGTCACACCACCCCTCGTGCACTGTGTGGGCGTTTAAAGGTGCTCGCTAACAGGACTTGCACCAACAATCTGTTCAAGGCTACACGGGAGATTTGTCGCCGCGACTGCCTGCTTAGCTCGGCACGTTTAGTAGCGCAGCACGTGAACCGCTCCGCCACCGCTCGCCTATAATGACGATAATCGATTATAATTGCATGGAACATAATTGTATGGAACATAATGTTGTTTCTGCTGCTTGGAGTTGTTCGTGATTTACCGTGATGGGTGGGGCCAGCGTCAGAGAAAATAATTACATTAATTGTTTACAGCTTCAATTACTGTCGCTTTAATGCTTAGCGATTTATAATGTGCCGTCATCTCTGTTACAAGTGGTAACTGTGAAGGGACGTAGAGTGGAGGAGAATAGGGTAAACAAACTTGAAGGTATGGGAATAGCACGTGGCAGGAAAGTGGTGTGGGAAGGATCAGGAGGAGGTTGAGATGGGCGGGACACGGGTGGAGGACGAGGGTAATTTACCGAGCCAGGCATTGGAGTGGCACCCAGAAGTTGGGAAATCATGAAGCAATCATCTTCACCTGCTTCTGCTCCTCCACTACAACCCATCTCTTCTCCTGAGACCAGGGCTTGGCAACCTGCGGCTCTGGAGCCGCATGCGACTCTTTAGGGACAGCTTTGTAACTTTGTTGATTTATTTAGGACCCACCCTCTCGTATTGACGTGCATTGCGGCTCTTGAAATATTGAGGGGGGAGGTTTGTTTTCCGAATTAAAAAAAAACATCTTCTTGTTATGTTGGATGACGACCCCTGCCCGAGTCCATCCTGCTGCTACTTACAGCCCGCACCCCCCTATCACTACCCCAACCCCTATCACTACCCCTATCATTACCCCAACCCCTATCACTACCCCAACCCCTATCACTACCCCAACCCCCATCACTACCCCTATCTTTACCCCAACCCCTATCACTACCCCTATTACTACCCCAACCCCTATCACTACCCCAACCCCTATCACTACCCCTATCATTACCCCAAAGTTTATCACTACCCCAACCCCTATATCCACCCCTATAGCTACCCCTCCTTAACCACTCACACCTGTCCTATCACCATAACTACACCACCCCCTTTAATAACCCATCATCTCATGTTATAATTGTTGTAAAGAACTTTGGAATAAGCTGCGATATAATCTATATAAAATAAGATAAATGGGAAGACCTTGAGCCAGACTGTTACCATCAAAAGACCTCGGAGGTGCGGCGTCGTCTGCAACAACTGCGGGAACCGGAAGAAGGAAGGAAGCGATGGCGATGCGCGTGGCTACGTCAACGCCACTTGCCACGCTGATCTGGGATTGTTAATCATGAACACTGTCTCTGAATGAGTCCAACATCTACAGGCGACATCAATGACGTCATTCCCCTTCTTCTTCTTTAGTATCCGTAGTCCAGTGACGTCACGGCGGTAGCGTTCTCGTCTATCGCGCCTGAAGTCTGTCCATGACATCGCTTGGGGCAGGGGGTGGGGGTGTCACGTGGAGCTGACGGGACTCGGCTCTGTAATGATTATTCTCCCCCCCCCCCACACCCCGTCACGATTTTTGGTCCACATTCGATTTGATGATTCTGAAAATGATCATCTTATGATGATGAACACGATCGTGGTGGTTGACATGTACGTTGAACTTCTTTCGCACCGTCCGTAGCCAACCGCGCTAGTCGGAGGTGCGGGGAAGGACAACAAACTTAACACAAAACGCATTTCTAAATAAATGATTGTTCATTCTACATTTAACAGTGCATAGCTTCAGCGGCTTCCTAATATCGGAAGAAAGAGTGCTCCAGACGGCTACACAAGCGCATCTGAAAGTGCGCAATGCAGTGACCGTCTTTGTTTGATGGCTATCCAAAAGCCACTGCGAGGATGACCGGAGTTCTCGTGATGGTTTACGCTCCTTGACGAGATCAAGAAGGAATTTGTGGTTTATTTGTGGCAAGCACTTTGTGTGTAATGAGTGCGACCTTGATGATGATGAACACGTTCATGATAGTTCACTCGATCACGATCATGGTGGTACCACTCTCGATGCTGATGATGGTGGTTGACTCATGATGTTGATGATGGTGGTTGACTCATGATGTTGATGATGGTGGTTGACTCATGATGTTGATGATGGTGGTTGACTCATGATGGTGGTTGACTCATGATGTTGATGATGGTGGTTGACTCATGATGTTGATGATGGTGATTGACTCATGATGCTGATGATGGTGGTTGACTCATGATGTTGATGATGGTGGTTGACTCATGATGCTGATGATGGTGATTGACTCATGATGCTGATGATGGTGGTTGACTCATGATGTTGATGATGGTGATTGACTCATGATGCTGATGATGGTGGTGATGCTGAAGTCTCAGGGCTCGCACTGGAAAGTGGCTCCCCCATGCACCTGCGGCAGCTCCGTGCAGTCGAGGCTCGCGATCAGAGTGAGCTCCCCGGGGCGCTTGGGAACCACGGGCACGCGCACGCGCACGCGGCCGTGCCCCTCCACGTCGCTGCGCCGCGACAGACACACAAAGACAAAGGTCCCCTGTATAGCCTACAGCAAACTGTTGGGGCAAGTACTGCGAGCACCTGTTAAGGCCGCGACAGGCACACGAGCGGGTGGTGTGGGTGCACCACGCCCGGCCGCCTATTGTACCCCCAGTGCTGAAGCTTGCACACACCGCCCCAGATAGTAATTTGAGGCTGAATCGACCTAGGGGAGGCCCAGAACTGGGTCGCGGGTGCATAACGAATCACGCTCACCGCTACACTATCGTGAAGCGAGACACACGTACGGGCACGTATCATCATCATCATCAGTAGCAGCGTGAGTATCAGGTATTATTGTGACTAAGCACATGGACAGTATTGTGAGATTGCGGTAGCAGTGGTGCATACGCACGCAAAAAATAAAACTCTCAATCGGCAATAACATCCCGGTCTTAAAAGGAAAATTATATAATAACGGACGTTTCGGACGATGACCCGTCTTCATAGCACATGTGTTTGGTTTAATCGATAACACGTGTGCTATGAAGAAGGGCCGTTGCCCGAAACACCGTCTTTGATATATTTGATCTTCTCATGATCGTGAACTTGTGACTACGGCACCATACCCGACGAGTATGGTGCCCGGCGTGTGCACGCCGGCTCCCTCCACGCGGACGCGCACGCGGTGCAGGGCGCGCGCCACGGGGTTCGTGAAGCAGAGCTCGGAGATGAGATCGCGACCCACGTGGGCCCCCTCGGGCACCTGTGGGGGGATATCACAGCGTCATCGTCACACCATCATCTACCACCGCACCATTATCACGCCATGATCATAATCACACAGTCATTATCCCATCATGCCACAGCAAACACACCTCCGATTAGCACTTGGCTACGTACGGTGGTGCGAATTAAGTTCAACATACATCGAACATCACAGCATCATCTAACATCATACCATCATCATGCCATCACAAACACCACCATCTACCATCGCACCACCGTGTCGGGTGGAGGAGGATCTATGATACCCAAAATCTATATTGAGACGAATAGTTGGTTGCTGTTGTTGTTATTGTTGTTATTATTGATGATACTGTGGTGTGCTACTCACGTGCACGCGCAGGCGCGGGGAGCGCACGCGGGCCACGTGCACGCGCGCGACTTCGGCGCCCGTGTCGAGCACGCGCGCGCACGCCACCAGCACGAGCGCGAAGTGGTCCACGGCCAGGTGGAGGTATTCGCTCGCGGGCACGCGCACCAGCACGCGCCGCTCTGCGCCGGACAACAAAGACAAAGGTCCCCCCGTAGAGCCTTCAAACAGACTGTTGGGGCAAGTGCTGTTAGCGAGCACCTATGAAGGCCGGGACGGCACACGAGGTGGTGGGTTGCCAGCACCACGCCCGACTGCCTTTGGCTCTCGAGTGGCGATGTTTACACACCGCACCAGCTACTCATTTGAGGCTACGTCGACCTAGGGGACGAGGCCCAGGACCGGTTCAGAAAATCGTCACTGGTATTGCCCCTGTTCGGGAATAGAACTTGGGTCCCCGGGTTTCGTAGCACAGAGCGCTAACCGCTTGACTACAGTTCGTATACACGCATGCACACAAATACAACACTCGTATAATTATCCTTCTTCTCTCCCTCCCTCCGTCTCACCCTCGTGGGGTCCCAGCTCCAGGAGGGCCTCCTCCTCCTCGAACCCGCCCAGGTTGGCGCCCGTGTACGTGGCCCCGTGGCCTCGCACGCGCACGCGCACGTGCACGCGGGGTCGCGCGCTCGCACTCGCCACCCGCACCTCGGCCGTTAACTCCCGGCCAAGCGCGGTCTCCTCCAGAACCCGCACCGCCAGAGTCACCTCGGGGGGTGGTGGGTCCCCACCCGCTGGGGCCCCAATAGGGTCCCCGCCGAGGGATGCAATGAGGTGTCCATCGGGGTTTAAAACGGAGCGTACATCCAGAGCCCCGCCGATATCCGCCGCGTCTCTTCCCCGCTCGACCCCGCTAGGACCCCCTGCGCCGCTCGCGTTATCCCCCTGAGGGGGCCCTGACCCTCCTGTCTCCACCTCGCGGGGTCCCCGCTCCGCACCTCCGCGCTTCAGCAGGCTGAGTGCGTGCGTCACCACGCGGCGCTCCTCCTCGGAGCCTGCGGGGGTGGACGAGGGGCATCGTATTCGTCAGCAGCAGATGCAGCATCATTATTATTTCAGCAGCTACAGCAATAGTCGCAGCATCGTAATCATCATCTGAAGTACCATCACTTAGCAGGAGCACTATCATCACTATCTTCAATTTCCCCAGCCATCACCAGATTGATAGTTCCCTACCATCACCATGCGTAAAGACATTAGTATTATCATCACTATCTCCTACATATCCTGATCTCAATATAAGTATCTGTAAACATTATAATCAACATCATATCGATCAACGCACACTTATAAATTGTTCTAGATGTATTGAACATTTGCATCACTCGAACATTCCGCGCCACTGACCCACTCCCCGCTGCCCTTCTCCATCCTCCCCCTTGCTGCTTGGTCCCTTACCATCTGCCCACTGCCCCTACCGGGCGGTGGCGTCTATGGACGTGGTGTGTACTGCAGCCACTGTAGAGGCAACGAAGGGTTGGTGGATCACGCACAGATCTTGCGAAACTCCCTTCTCGTGGACGCTGTGGCGTCGTATCCTGGCTCGCCAGGAGAAAGCGGCACAACAGCAAACATGTGGGCTCCATCTGTTTCGTCTCTATGGGATACAGTGTTTCCCCTTCGCATGCGTGGATTTTGTCATGGGCGCTCCGGCTTTCTCCAACATATAAAAATTCATTAATTGTCCGATAACGTTTTAATGTATAGAGGACCGCAGAGCTTGAGAAATTGTTAGTAGCGCCGATTCATCGCTTGGCTACCTTCTCGCTCATCTGTTGTTCCTCCTGCTGACGCCTCTGAGTCGTCCTCTCTCTCTCTACGAGAGCGAGCGAATGCAGTGCGGAGGCGCCGACTCATTACAAGCTGACATTGCCACTACTATTGCCTCTGTCACCACGCCTTTATTACCCCGGGTCCCATAGCTGCTGCCCTCCTGCTGCCCGAGCTCGCGGTTACCTTCAGACGGTTTGTATTCGGCTGTGATATCGAGGCGCGCGTCGCTGCCCGGAGCCTTGGTGCTGATCTTCTGGCCAATGCTGTCGGTCTCCACGGAGATCCGCTCCCGTTCTCCGCCCGCACGCCTCCTCCAGAACACGCGGTCACTGTTCACCTGTGCGCGGGCGAGCGGGTGAGAGTATGAGCAGATGATTGGGTACGCAGATGAGCATATGAGTAGGTGAGCAGGAATTGAGGGGGCGAGTAGGTGAACGGATGAGTAGGTGAGCTTGATGAGCATATAAGCAGGTGAGCAGGTGATCAGGTTGCACGATGAGTAGGTGAGAAGGTGAGCGTTTTAACAGGTGAATGGGCTAACGGTTGAATAGTTGAGCAGGTGAGGCGATTGGGCGAACAGGTGAACAGGTGAGGCGATTGGGCGAACAGGTGAGCACGTGAGCAGGTGACCAAGTGGGTAGTCGGTCAAGTGAACAGTAGAGCGGTCAGACTGTTTGTGTCAGGCTTGGGATTGGTTCGCATGGCATATAATCAGATGATTAGATAAGGATTGTGTCGATTAATGTATAGAGTTAGGGGTCAAGATTGGTATTCGGTTTTTATTAGGGCTAGGGTTGGTATTAGAGTTGGGTTTAGGGTTAGAGTTGGGTTGCGGGCTGCGTTTCGGTCCATGGTTGGGACTGCTTGAAAGGTGCGATCACGCCGTGATGGGAGATCACAGTGTCCAGCAGCTTTGCTGACCTCCGCGAACACAAAGGCGGTGTCGTATTTCAAGTCGATGTCTCCTTTCTTCACGGCCATCACGGGAGCCGGACCGCAGCGGAACACACCTGGGTGGTGGTGGGGGTGGAGGGGTGGAGGGCGGGGCACGTAGAGACAAGGAGTGGGGGAGGGGGAGGTGCCACGGTGGCGAGATATTAATTACCTCGCCTGGTATACAGGAGGTCGTGGGCTCGATCCTGACCCTGACGCCTGCATATTTAGAGTTTGCGTGTCTATCTTCATGGTCGCGTAGATTTTTCTCCGGGTGCTCAGGTTTTGCCATCCACATTTAGAATCAACATTCGTTTAAAGTATTTGGCTGCTACACATTTACATGTGATAAGCCACTTTGTTGAGATATAATTTGTGATGGCTAGGTCGCTTCTGAAATATCGCTACGTATCTCAGTGGGCCTTACCTGGTAATATAAAAAAATGTTACGTTTTTAGGTTGATAGGAAGGTACCACGCGAACCACCACCACCATCAAGACCGCTGTCAGACTCCGTAGAGCAGGGTGCGTGTTTGTTGCCATCGTCTACGAGAGCTGCACGTGGCAAACCGGGGACGCTGCCACACGGCTCAGCGATCGCGCACTCGCTGAGCCAATCTGGCAAGGCTCACGTGGTCAGCAAAGGGGCAGCACAGCAACACGAACCCTTGCACTGAACCCTGCGCTGCTACGCCTGCAACCAACCCCGCTCCGACCAGCGTGGTGAAGTATGGTCAAATACACCGCCGCGAATCGCTCGAGCGTGGCAGTGGGGAGGGCCTCCCTGTGGAGGAGCAGCTTCGTCAAAGGGGCCATGGCGTGGACGGACGCGCACGTTGCGTTTAAACGCTTTTTAATAACACGGGCACGAAAATCATCAATCATCGTCCCTTCACCCCACCCATCGTCCCACGTGATACCACCTGCGGTGATGTTCGCCGCACGCCTCGCGACGCTCAGGTGAGCGTTACCTGCGCTCGCCTCCTGCGGGGTGGCGTCCACCACCTGCCAGCCATCGTATCCCGACGGGAGGTCGGGTCGCTTCATCCACGCGTCGCTCCACGAGTGGAAGTTCCTGGCACAGGTGCGCGAGGCGGATGAGTTCGAGTCCTGTCTGTGAGCGAGTGGGTTTAGTGCACTGTACTATGACGAATTCGGCGACCCGAGTTCGATTCCCGCTTACGGCCACCAACACCAGTGACGATTATCTGAACCGGTCCTGCATCTCCCGAGGTCGACTCAGCCTTAAATGCGTATCTGGTGCGATGTGTAAACATCGCAACTAGGGAGACAAAGGTGGCCGAGGGTGGTGCCGGCCACCCATCCTCTCTCATGTGCCGTGTATGCCTTCATAGGTGCTCGCTAATAGCACTTGCCCCAGCGGTCTGTGAAAGGCCATACGGTGATCCTTGTCTCTGCATCTATATGTATCGCTATGTGTGTGTGGCCATATATGTGGTCATAGAGTGTATTCAGCAGCGAGCCGGTCTGCATGGGAGAGGGAGTCACGGTGCAGGAGGTCACGGTGCAGGGAGTGCATGGAGCTCCAGCACGTGGGGCAGGGGGCTGCCCCTCACCAGATGGAGTCCTTGGTGTGGCTCCGGTCTGGCCGCATCTTCTCGTCGAGGAAGATGTCCGTGACGAGGTTCCCGTCCGTATCGTGCGCCGAGGAGAAGTTGGTGACGGTGCGACACGGGATTCCCAGGGCGCGCAACACTTCGCGGCAGAACACACACACACGGGAGATGCGTGAAATACGTACATCCGGAAAACGGACAGAGATATTGCTTGATATTACATATGGATAATGCGTAGCGCACGTACAGATCATGTATACACATAGAGAGATCATGGGAGGAAAATTTACAGGACAGAGATCGTGCGTAAAACGCATACAGATCACGCGTAAGAAACACACACACAGGTCATGTATAAGGTGATTGATGACAATGTTCTTTTTTTCAGTGGTGGTAAAGATCTTGCCCATTAATTTGCTATACAGACCAAGGCCGTAATTATAATATATATTGGGGGGAACACATCCCCCCCCCCCAATATTCAAATATGCTCAAAATGTCCGCCCCAATATATTGCTATAAAATAGATTTCTGTTTATATGATTGTGGTTATGGTTGTACTTTATTAATCCCAAATCTCTGCCATTACATACAATGAAACAAGAAAAGGTAAAAAATAAAAAACAGAGCAATATAATACAATACACTATTAGACATTATTGTAAAAAATAAATAAAAAGTCCATCCTTTGTATTAGTGATTTTTTAAAATATTTTAGGCAGGAAATTAGTTTTCAAATTAAGATTTTTCTCGGGGGGGGGAAGACCCCCCAGACCCCCTGGAAGATTTGGTACCCCCCAATGTTGACTCCATGGCTACGGCCTTGATACAGACGTACGCCCATTCATCCACGCGCTATCTTTTGGTCTATGCATTTGTCAATCCACAAGTCAAATGCGCAAGAGGACTTCGGTCCCTCCCCTGTCCCCCGTCCCCGCTCCCCGCACCCGTGGTAGTGACGGCGGCGAACACCCAGCACTGTCCGTACTTGACCGGTCGACCCGACCGGTGATACTGTCTCAGGATGTCAGGGCTACCGGTCCAGGCAGCGGGGGCAGTACCCCCTGAGTAGTCGTTACGTTCAGACCAGTTCCCCTCCAGGACCCCGCTCTCGTCATTCGCGTTCACCTGCGCGGGGGATGAGGTGGAAGTGGTGGGGGCGGAGGCACAGCTGAAAAAGTTCAAGGGTGAGTGTGGAGTCAACTTTGCCGTAGGTCGGGAACAAACCCGCGACTTACGATTCGCGGTGTCCACGTAGGCCATCTGTGTCTCTGTCTATCTGCTGCCTATGGCCACTCGGTTGGCCAGGCAGTCTCCCGCCTCCTCTGCATTCTCTCCACTGCCCACTTCGAAACAATCCCCAAGAGATATTCGGCCGTCACGGCAAGCGCCTTCGCCTCTCTATCTCTCTGCGTATTCGTGGGTTTCTGTGTGCGCCTCTAATGTGTGGGGAACAGTCGTATCGCGGTTAGCGCTACGCTGAGCTATGAACCCGGCGACCCGGGTTTGATTCCCGCTCACGGCCACCACCGATGACGATTATCTGAACCGGTCATGGGCCTTCCCTAGGTCGATTCAGCCTCAAACGAGTACCTGGTGCGGTGTTGTAAACATCGCCACAGGGGAGACAAAGGCGGTCGGGCGTGGTGCTGGCCACCCACCCCCTCGTGTGCCGTTCCGGCCTTCATATGTGCTCACTAACAGCACTTGCCCCAACAGTCTGTTAAGGCTATACGGGGGATCTTTGTATTTGTCTTAGCCTCTAATTGGGAGCGGTATTGTACTAGTTAGCGCACCGCGCTGCAAACCCGGGGACCTGAATTCGATTCCCACTCACGACCAGTGACAGTGGCGAATATCTGAACCGGTCGACTCAGCCTGAATCGAGTACCTGATGCAGTGTGTGAACATCAGCAGTGAGGAAACAAAGGGGGGATCTGTTTCTTTGTGTTGTGTCGATCTTCTTACCAACGCGGAGACCGTTCGCACTACGGCCACAGGGTCTCCACGCTGCTCCCAGGCCATGGAGCTCAGCAGGTGCAGGCTCGCGTCCAGCACCCCGCTCGTAAACTGCGGGCCGTGGGTTGGGTTAGGGGTAGGGGTGTGTTAGGGTAAGTAATAAGTTGTGTGTTAGTGTAAGTAGTAAGTTGTGTGTTAGGGTAAGTAGTAAGTTGTGTGTTAGGGTAAGTAGTAAGTTGTGTGTTAGGGTAAGTAGTAAGTTGTGTGTTAGTGTAAGTAGTAAGTTGTGTGTTAGGGTAAGTAGTAAGTTGTGTGTTAGTGTAAGTAGTAAGTTGTGTGCTAGTGTAAGTAGTAAGTTGTGTGTTAGGGTAAGTAGTAAGTTGTGTGTTAGGGTAAGTAGTAAGTTGTGTGTTAGGGTAAGTAGTAAGTTGTGTGTTAGTGTAAGTAGTAAGAGTTGTGTTAGTGTAAGTAGTAAGTTGTGTGTTAGTGTAAATAGTAAGTTGTGTGTTAGGGTAAGTAGTAAGTTGTGTGTTAGGGTAAGTAGTAAGTTGTGTGTTAGTGTAAGTAGTAAGTTGTGTGTTAGTGTAAGTAGTAAGTTGTGTGTTAGGGTAAGTAGTAAGTTGTGTGCTAGTGTAAGTAGTAAGAGTTGTGTTAGTGTAAGTAGTAAGTTGTGTGTTAGTGTAAATAGTAAGTTGTGTGTTAGGGTAAGTAGTAAGTTGTGTGTTAGGGTAAGTAGTAAGTTGTGTGTTAGGGTAAGTAGTAAGTTGTGTGTTAGGGTAAGTAGTTACTTGTGTGTTAGGGTAAGTAGTAAGTTGTGTGTTAGGGTAAGTAGTAAGTTGTGTGTTAGTGTAAGTAGTAAGTTGTGTGTTAGGGTAAGTAGTAAGTTGTGTGTTAGGGTAAGTAGTAAGTTGTGTGTTAGTGTAAGTAGTAAGTTGTGTGTTAGTGTAAATAGTAAGTTGTGTGTTAGGGTAAGTAGTAAGTTGTGTCTTAGGGTAAGTAGTTACTTGTGTGTTAGGGTAAGTAGTAAGTTGTGTGTTAGTGTAAGTAGTAAGTTGTGTGTTAGGGTAAGTAGTTACTTGTGTGTTAGGGTAAGTAGTAAGTTGTGTGTTAGTGTAAGTAGTAAGTTGTGTGTTAGGGTAAGTAGTAAGTTGTGTGTTAGTGTAAGTAGTAAGTTGTGTGTTAGGGTAAGTAGTAAGTTTTGTGTTAGTGTAAGTAGTAAGTTGTGTGTTAGGGTAAGCAGTAAGTTGTGTGTTAGGGTAAGTAGTAAGTTGTGTGTTAGTGTAAGTAGTAACTTGTGTGTTAGGGTAAGTAGTAAGTTGTGTGTTAGGGTAAGTAGTAAGTTGTGTGTTAGGGTAAGTAGTAAGTTGTGTGTTAGTGTAAGTAGTAAGTTGTGTGTTAGGGTAAGTAGTAAATTTTGTGTTAGTGTAAGTAGTAAGTTGTGTGTTAGGGTAAGTAGTAAGTTGTGTGTTAGTGTAAGTAGTAAGTTGTGTGTTAGTGTAAGTAGTAAGTTGTGTGTTAGTGTAAGTAGTAAGTTGTGTGTTAGGGTAAGTAGTAAATTTTGTGTTAGTGTAAGTAGTAAGTTGTGTGTTAGGGTAAGTAGTAAGTTGTGTGTTAGTGTAAGTAGTAAGTTGTGTGTTAGTGTAAGTAGTAAGTTGTGTGTTAGGGTAAGTAGTAAGTTGTGTGTTAGGGTAAGTAGTAAGGTGTGTTTTAGTGTAAGTAGTAAGTTGTGTGTTAGTGTAAGTAGTAACTTGTGTGTTAGGGTAAGTAGTAAGTTGTGTGTTAGTGTAAGTAGTAACTTGTGTGTTAGGGTAAGTAGTAAGTTGTGTGTTAGTGTAAGTAGTAAGTTGTGTGTTAGGGTAAGTAGTAAGTTGTGTGTTATTGTAAGTAGTAAGTTGTGTGTTAGGGTAAGTAGTAAATTTTGTGTTAGTGTAAGTAGTAAGTTGTGTGTTAGGGTAAGTAGTAAGTTGTGTGTTAGGGTAAGTAGTAAATTTTGTGTTAGTGTAAGTAGTAAGTTGTGTGTTAGGGTAAGCAGTAAGTTGTGTGTTAGGGTAAGTAGTAACTTGTGTGTTAGTGTAAGTAGTAACTTGTGTGTTAGGCATGGTGGGGGGGGGGGGGGGGGGGGTGAGTAGTAGGGGTGTGATAGGGGCAGAAGAGTTAAGGCTGTACACTGTGTTAATGATTGGGTTAGTGGTAGGGTGTGTATTAGAGTGTTAGAGTAAGTAGTACGGGTACCACTTAATAAGTTATGGTTGAAGTTAGCGTTAGAGTTGGATTGTGTGTCAGGGCTTGCTTTGGAAATGTCACGGCTGTCATTGAGTGCACGCATCAAGTTTTGCCCATGACTGTATACACAGGTATACCATGGGACAATATATAAACTGTACACCCGCGTGCCAGGCTGGTACACGCGTGCCAGGCTGGGTACACGCACCTGCCCGTAGTTCCACGCGCGGGTCCCGATCTGCTGCGCGGTTCCGTAGAACAGTCGCCCCGTCTCGTTCAGAACAAACTCCGTTTTGTGTTCCTCGGGCTCCATGAAGACGGCGTCTCCTGAGGGGAACCCAGGGCCCGCCAAACGTCCGGTCACTCGCTCCGCTTTGTAATATCGACAAGTAAGGGGTGCAACGTTATTGATCGGCTGTTGATGATCGAGCATGCCGAATGATTTAATTGATGGCAGCCGTCACGCGGCCCACTCTTGTCACGTGAGGAATCACGTGACAAGACAATGACAACACGAGCCAGGCCAACGGGCCTGTTTCAGGGCCAAACGACGCGCCAGGTCGGCCGCTGGGACAAGGATCCACTCCTCCTGACGCAGCTATCCGGGCTTGACCGCCTGAGTGTGAATTTCTCGTTGTTGCTCTGCATCTCCATCAGCCGTGCGAAAGAAGAAGATTGATTTGATTGATTGTCAAGATGTCATCACGGATAACGTCCGTTGATGCCACCACAGAAAGCTCAATGCCAACGCGTTCCATCCTCCACCGGATCCCGCAGATACTGCACAGCAGAGACACGCAGCGAGCTCCACGATATTCAATGACAGTCTCCTACCATCTGCTCATACAAAGACCCATAGACTCACGCATAGATCCATAGACACACACACAGACCCTTAGATACACACAGATACTCGCAATCCCATACAGATACACACACACTCACACAGATACTCACAGAACCACACGGGGACACACGGACTAACACACAGACCCATAGACACATACACTCATTGACTGACGCAGAGATCCATAGACACGCACACACAGACCCATAGACACATGCACTCATTGACTGACGCAGAGATCCATAGACACGCACACACAGACCCATAGACACATACACTCATTGACTGACGCAGAGATCCATAGACACGCACACACAGACCCATAGACACATACACTCATTGACTGACGCAGAGATCCATAGACACACACACAGACCCATAGACACATACACTCATTGCCTGACGCAGAGATCCATAGACACGCACACACAGACCCATAGACACATACACTCATTGACTGACGCAGACATCCATAGACACGCACACAGAGACCCATAGACACATACACTCATTGACTGACGCAGAGATCCATAGACACACACACAGACCCATAGACACACACTCATTGACTGACGCAGAGATCTATAGACACACACACACAGACCCATAGGCTCGGTCCCATGTAGAGACACACAGATCTCCCCTTGCAGGCATCCACCACCTGCACTTAAATCGTCTCTTCCCTTTGGTCTCCAGACACGTGGAGACCACCCCAGGTCCCAATCGACCCTCCCCCATCCATTGACTATTTACCACTGATGTTCCACGCTGTTAAATACTGTATTTGTGAGTATCGATTCTAATCTATTCTTGATCAAGACACACGAACTCCCACCTCTGCACCACGGGTTGAAGAGGATGATGACGTCGGGACAGACCCCGGGCTCCGTGCGTACCGGCCGGCCCCCTGCGGGGCTCACCGCCACCGCGAGCCGGTACTGGCCGACGGGGCAGTGCGGAGGAGACTGCACCGTGACCTCGATCTCGACCCCTTGGCCTCCTCGACCCCCCCGGGTTCCCGAGGTCTCCTCGCTCAGGGTCGCGCTCCACGTCTCCTCGCGAAGCCGCGGTCCCACGGGCACGGAGACGGGAGGTCCTGCAGTCTCTGCGTGCGTGTGTGTGTAAATCGGGGGGGGGGGGGGGGGTGGGGGGGGGGGTAGTGGTGGCATAGTGTTTCGCGCACTACACTGCAAACCCGGCAACCCGAATTCGATTTCCGCTTACTGTCGACATCAGAATATGTAACCGGGCCCTGGGCCTCTCCTAGGTCGACTCAGCCTCACAGATGAGTATCATTCATCCATCATAACCATCACATCCTGCCGTCACCTCCAACATCATCAGCATCATCTTCCCCATAATCACCAACGCAACCGACAACATCATTATCCTATCATACGCATCATGTCTCCATCATTAACACCCTCACATCCTCTCCTCACCTCTAGAATCCCCCTTGCATCACTACGCCATCATAACCTCCCACCATCACTCCACTCCCCACCCGGGACTCTGCCCTTCTCCCCACCCGCCGCGCCCTGTTGCTGTCCACTGACTGGTGCTGAACTCTACCTTCTATCCCAGTGTTCTTCATTGCAAGGCCCGCAGGCCACTGGTGGCCCCTGGTGACCTTTAGTGCGACCCCTGACGTGCGGCCCTGGACAATACACAACACGTTAAAACACCCCATCGTGCTCTCAACCCCATCGTGCTCTCAAACCCATTGGTTCCAAATGTGTGGCAGCCATCACACTGATGTCTCATGGGCGAAAGTGTTTATTGTAGTACGGAGTTAGACTGATGGCCTTGATCTTAGTTGTCTTGTGGTTGTTGTTGTTGTTGTTATTTGACTTGCATCCCACTGGGATTTTTGCACACAGAGTTGGTGTACGGTGCTATTTCATGAATATTTTGATTTTTTTTTCCTGGAATTTCTGTTTGCACAGTCACATAATCACTTTAAGATGTTTTCTTGTTCATGTTTTTGTTTGTTGTGGTTGCACCCGATTCAAGAGCCGAATGGCTCACAGGGCTATACCAAATAAATGAACTATGGAACTAAATGAACTATGGCTCTCCTCTGAAAATTGGTGAACACGACCCTACCCCCTCTGGCCGCGCCCTGTCGCTGTCCACTCAACGGTGCTGAACTTTACGCCCACGCACCGCGCCCAGTTGCTGTCCACCTAGCGGTGCTGAACTTTACCCCCACCCGACAAGCCCCGTCGCTGTCCACTCACCGGTGCTGAACTCGAGAACGATGGAGTCGTGGTGTCGCTGCACCGCACGGCTCAGCTGGAGGCGCAGGCGGAACGGGGCCCCGCGCCGCAGCACGAGCTGCGGCTGCGCAAAGCCGCTGGTGCGGTGCTCGCGCGCCGCCTCCTCCTTCCCAGCGCTCTCCACGCGCAAAACGGCCAGGCGCTCCCCCACTGAGGTCCCGCACACGTGGGGGGTGGGGTGAGGTCACGACGAGGATACACGTGGGGTCACAAGCTACAACACTCGTGTAAATGGCCATTTTAGAACCTTCGACCTTCACCCTAGAACCTCACGTTCACTCCAGACCCTCACCTTGACCCCAGACCCTCACTCGATCTCACATACTTAACTTAACCCACCTACCCTCACCTTGACCCCAGACCCTCACTTGATCTCACATACCCACAGACCCTCACCTTGACCCCAAACTCTCACCTTGACCCCAGACCCTCACTTGATCTCACATACTCAACTTAACCCACAGACCCTCACCTTGACCCCAAACTCTCACCTTGACCCCAGTCCCTCCCTTGATCTTACATACTCAACTTAACCTACAGACCCTCACCTTGACCCCAGATCCTCACTTGATCTCACATACTCAACTTAACCCACAGACCCTCACCTTGACCCCAAACTCTCACCTTGACCCCAGTCCCTCCCTTGATCTTACATACTCAACTTAACCTACAGACCCTCACCTTGACCCCAGATCCTCACTTGATCTCACATACTCAACTTAACCCACAGACCCTCACCTTGACCCCAAACTCTCACCTTGACCCCAGTCCCTCCCTTGATCTCACATACTCAACTTAACCTACAGACCCTCACCTTGACCCCAGACCCTCACTTGATCTCACATACTCAACTTAACTCACAGACCCTCCCTTGATCTCACATACTCAACTTAACCCACAGACCCTCACCTTGACCCCAGACCCTCACTTGATCTCACATACTCAACTTAACCCACAGACCCTCACCTTGACCCCAAACTCTCACCTTGACCCCAGTCCCTCCCTTGATCTCACATACTCAACTTAACCTACAGACCCTCACCTTGACCCCAGATCCTCACTTGATCTCACATACTCAACTTAACCCACAGACTCTCACCTTGACCCCAGACCCTCACTTGATCTCACATACTCAACTTAACCCACAGATCCTCACCTTGCCCCCAGACCTTCACTTGATCTCACATACTCAACTTAACCCACAGACCCTCACCTTGACCCCAGACCCTCACTTGATCTCACGTACTCAACTTAACCTACAGACCCTCACCTTGATCCACAGACTCTCACCTTGACCCCAGACCTCACTTGATCTCACATACTCAACTTAACCCAGACTCTCACCTTGACCCTCAGACCCTCACCTGTATCGCGAGGCATCGCTGCGCTGGGCCGCAGAGAGAGAAAGAGAGACCGCTGTAGCTCCCTCCCGCGTTGCGCTTTAAAAGGCCACGACCCCCGCCCATGGCGAGGGCGGCAATTACCGCAGATTACAGCAGCAGCTTAGCTTAGAAGGGATTGGGTGGTTGGCGTTGGGGTGGGGGTGGGGGGGAGGCGCACCCAGGTAATTGCAACGAGGACCTCTCATTAACACTTAGCCTTTGACTGCGTAGCGGGTAGAGGTTCGAGGTGGGGTTACTGCCCATTGAGCGGGGGATGGGTGGTACTCCCAGAAAGCAGGGGGAAGGAAGAGAGAGACTCATTGTACCCGATTCATATCTATTGATAAGATGGCCTGGACCACCTCCCCCTCCACCCTTTCCGATGACGTACGTCGACTGTAGTGGTGGCTGATTGAGACTTCGGGGAAATTTGGCGACAGTGAAGTCTATCCCAGCCGAGGCGTGTAGCTACAAGATAAGAGCCACTCGTGTTTGTGTTGGAATGCTTCTGTAATCGGTGTTCCGTTTGGTCGTGATGAGACGTCCGGGCTAATTGGGATAAATGTGAACGATTAGCCCTGACAGCGCTAGGATCTCGCTGCCCCGAGTGCCCGCGGGCGGCGTGAGTGGATGGGCCGGCGGTCGCACGGTTCTCGTTGCGCGATGTGACTCTGACTCACCCTGGCGTGATGACAGGTTGAAGAGTTAAGACCGCGAAACAGATTAGCGCGTTAGGCGCGGTCTCACGCGCCCCCACGTGCAGCGCCTGCACACAGTTCGCACAGCGCACGTGATATGGCCAACACCAAGGCCGGCCGCCTTTGTCTCCCCAGTGATGACGTTTACACATCGCAACCAGGTACTGATTTAGAGTTGAGTGCACTAACCACTGCGCCACCGCTCTCCACTACAAAGATAAAGATCCCCTCTGTAGCCTATGACAGACTGTTGGGGCAAGTGCTGTGATTGAGCACCTATAAAGGCCGGCACGGCGCACGAGGGGGTGGGTGGCCAAAACCACGCACGGCCACCTTTGTCTCCCTAGTGGCGATGTTTTTCACACCACACCAGGTACTCATTTGAGGCTGAGTCGACCTAGGGTAGGCCCAGGACCGATTCAGACAATCGTCACCGGTGTTGGCCGTGAGAGTTAAACGAACTCGGGTCGCCGGCTTCGTAGCGCAGGGCACTAACCGCTACAGAACCACTCGCCACACACACACACACAAGTAAATACAAACGCACGTTCGGTTATGCCATGGCAGTTTTAATAAGATAATATTATTGCAAACATTCTAGGTATGAAAATACACGACAAAATATGTGAACCCATATAAACCTATGGACGCGGGACGGGCAGAGGGTTATACGTGCGTCGACCACTCAACGTGTATCGGCGCCCACGTGTATCTATCATGAACTTCTTTCGCACCCGTACGTAGCCAACCGTACGAATCAGATATACACGTGTGTGTGTTTGGATAGGAACGTGTGTACATATATTTGCGTGTGTACGGTGGGTGTATGTCATTGGTGGGGAGCGGTGGTGTAGCGGTTAGTGCGTTGCGCTACGAACCTCGCGACCCGAGTTCGTATTCCCGCTCACAGCCAACATCAGTGACGATTATTTGATCCGGTCCTTGGCCTCCACTAGGTCGACTCAGCCTCAAATGAGTACCTGGTGCGGTGCGTAAAAACATCGGCACTGGGGAGACAAAGGCGGCCGGACGTGGTGCTGGCTACCCACCCCCTCGTTTACCGTTCCGGCCTTCATAGGTGCTCGCTAACAGCACTTGCCCCTACAGTCTGTATCAGGCTATACGGGGGATCTTTGTCTTTTGTATGTCATTGATGCTGAGTAGACTTGCCGATTACCGATACCAATGGTGTCACGATCGGGTCTCTGTGGATGAGGCTCGTGAAGGACGCTACTCGGTAGTCGGGGGCAGTCGCCCTCCCAACAATAACAGCGCAGGCAGCGACGCTCACAACAATGAGCAGGGCACCGGGCGGATAAAGCACAACGAGTCGGCACAATGGGGAGCACAGGTGGTGCATCGGTCAGTCAACTCATGTTACCTGGGTCTGTTCCATGCTCTCTTTGCCAGCGGGTCTTCAACACTACACGTGGACGCAAAGAGCACCTAGCATGGCACAAGTGTCGTGGTGAAGTCACCGCCCACGTAGTGGCGAATGACGACTGTTACTGTATGTCATTGCACGTGTGTATAGGGTGGGTATACGGTATGCATGAGAGCATATGGGAGCGCGGTAGTGTAGTGGTTAGCGCGCTGCGCTATGAACCCGGCGACCAGAGTTCGATTCCCGCTCACGGCCAACACCAGTGACCATTATATGAACCGGTCCTGGGCCTCCCCTAGGTAGACTCAGCCTCAAATTAGTACCTGGTGCGGTGTGTAGTAAACATCGCCATTTGGGAGACGAAGGCGGCTGGGCGTGGTGCTGGCCACCCGCCCCCTCCTGTACCGTCCCGGCTTTCATAGGTGCTCGTTAACAGCACTTGCCCCAACTGTTTGCCGAGGCTATACGGGGGATCTTTGTCTTTGCGCATCATCATCCACGGTCTATCCCAGGGGTCGGCAAGCTGCGGCTCATGAGCCACATTGAGGCTCTTTAAGGACTAACATTCGTGACAGTTGTTGATTCAGGACACGCCACGGTCTCGTATTCACCACACAGCGCACTGCGGCTTCTTGAAATATCGAGTTGTTTTGAGCGAATTCGAAAGAAAAAAATATCTTCTTGCTATTTTGGTTGCCGACCACTTGTTCTATCCACTGCTAGATGAACGCCTCACCAGCACCGACGCAAGCCCCGAATGTTCCGCGACGTCACCACGGTCCGTCCCGCCGCTCCTTCACGCGGACCGATCCCGTCGCTCCATCGCTGAGGTGGTCGCCCTCCTTTAGCTGCCATTCCGTGACCGGTCTCGCCCATGTGCCATCGTCCCATCTCGACACGAAGCCCCCTTCGCCAAGGCCACTTTTTTAAGCCGTTCTCTAATCCACATTGCTCCTCTCTCCGTCTCTCGGTGTAACATTTAGCAATCGCCTCCCCGCCTCCGCTTCCTTCATCGCCCATTGGCACCGAATTCTTTGCCCCTCATATAGAGATCTCGGTTCAATGCTTCATACTTCCACTTGTGAGCGGGCGTGTCTGGGTGTGTCGACGTGTGTGTGTGCAGCTGTGTGTGTGCGTACGAGCACGTGTGCTATCGCGAGCCCGCATATATAGTGTGCTTAGAAGAAGGGCCATTGCCCGAAACGTCGCCGGTTGTTTTCTTTACAAGCCACATAGTGTTCTACGCGACGTACATGTTCAGTTCACGTAGGCAAATACGATTAGGCTTACTTATACGACCACGTGCGAGTAGGCACGCACGTGTACATATCGGCTGAAGTGTGTATTCGAGTGCTGTGCATGTGCAAGCGCGTGTCCTACTTACACGACGGGCGCGCTTACGAGCACGTGTACTCTACGAACTCGCGTACAGCGTGAGAGCGCGCGCACAGTGAGTGAGTGTGTCATTCGTGTTTTGCATTCAATCAAAGGATCCCTCCCCTGCCCATCCATAGCCTTAACAAGCTGTCGTGACAAGCGTTGTACACAATCTCGTGTGCACGTGTGTACTTATACGGGCACGTGTGTGTGTGTGTACAAGAGTGCGCGTGCACATACGCGGGCACGCGTACCCATACGTGTGCGCACAAGAGTAGATGGCTGCGCACGCGAGCGCGTGTTGGTAGATGCACTATCACGCACGTGCTAGCACACACGAGCACACACGAGCACACACGAGCATACACGTGCACACACGTGCACACACGAGCACACACGTGCACACACGAGCACACACGAGCACGTGTCGGTCATTCCTCGTGCGTCTGTTCAAGCACGCGGGCGTGTGCACGAGCGTCACGCCTTGACCAGCAGCTCGAGTTCCCCGTGCACCGTGATGAGTTGGTGAGAGTCGAGGGTGGCGAGGAGGGTGGCGACCCCCGCCACCCGCGGCACCACCGCCACAGTGCGGTACACGGAGCCCCCCCCGGGCACATCCCTGCGGGGGCGAGCGGGGGGGGGGGCAGAGAGGAGATCTCATCAAGACCAACACCGTTGACAAGGTGCACATCAACAGAGCCTTTGGGAAGTCAGTGCTTGGTGAAGGTGGTGGTGATGATGGTGACAGTGATGGATGGGCTCTACCGACGATGACACGTTAGCGGTGGTTATAGTGGTAAAGGTGATATTGGTGATGGTGATATTGGTGATGGTGGTGATGGTGGTGGTGGTGTCGATGATGATGATGGTGGTGGTTATGGTGGCGGTGATGGTGGTGATGATGTTGGTGGTGGTGCTGGTGGTGATGGTGGTGCTGGTGGTGGTGATGATGGCGGTAGTGATGATGGTGATGTTGGTGGCGGTGATGGTGGTGATGATGGCGGTAGTGATGATGGTGATGATGGTGATGGTGGTGGTGATGATGGCGGTAGTGATGGTGGTGGCGGTGATGGTGGTGGTAGTGATGGGTGGTGGTGATGATGGCGGTGATGGTGATGGTGGTGATGATGGTGGCGGTGATAGTAGTGATGGCGGTAGTGATGGTGGTGGTGGTGATGGTGGTGGTGATGGCGGTAGTGATGGCGGTGATGATGGTGGTGATGATGGCGGTAGTAATGATGGTGATGTTGGTGGCGGTGATGGTGGTGATGGAGGTGGTGATGATGGCGGTAGTGATGGTGGGTACCCGTGCTGGATGAGCGTGGGCTCCAGCAGCCCCGCGGCCTCGAGGCGCAGCGTGACGGCGCGCAGCGGCTGTGGCAGGGGGTTCGTGAAGGACACCTTCACCAGCGCCTTGTTCCCGACGCGCACCGCGTCCCTGTCGTCCACCTGGTGACGTCAGCACATTGATCGCTCCGTCAACGTCATCATCGTCATCGCAATCATCGCGGTCATCGCAGTCATCATCGCTATGAGTGTGCCACTTACGAGTGTAAGTGTATGAGAGTGTAAGTGAGTATAAGAGCGTGTGCCACTGACAAATACAAAGTTCCCCACCCCGTATAGCCTGTAACAGGCTGTTGGGGCAAGTGCTGTTAGCGGGCACCTGTGCAGGCCGGCGCGGCACATTAGGGGGTGGGTGGTCAACACCGCGCCCGGCCGCCTTTGTCTCCCCAATGGCGATGTTTACACACCGCACCAGGTACTCATTTGAGACTCAGTCGACCTAGGGGAAGCCCAGAACCGTTTCAGATAGTCGCCACTGGTGTTGGCCGCGAGCGGGAATCGAGCTTCGGGTTGGCCGGCTTCGTAGCACAGCGAAGCGCTGACCGTGACACTACCGCTCCCCTCCTGAGCGTGAGTGTGTGTTGGCGTGTCAGTGTGAGTGCGTCACTGAGTGTATGTTGGCGTGTCAGTGTGAGTGCGTCACTGAGTGCGTGTTAGTGTGCCAGTGTGTGTTAGTGTGCCAGTGTGCGTAACGATTAGGTGATGATGTGGAGTGTTAGTGCACTGTGCTAGGAACTCAGCAACCCAAGTCCGATTCCTGCTCATGACCAACTTGGGTTATGAATACCTGGTCTGGTCCTGGGCACCCGCTAGGTCAATTCAGGTATTTTAAGTACCAAGTTCAGGCTATACGGGGGATCTTTGTCTTTGTTTTGTGTCACTGAGTGTGCCACTGAGTGTCTCACTGAGTGAGTGTGCCACTGAGTGAGTGTGGCAATGAGTGAGTGTGTCACTGAGTGAGTGTGGCAGTGTAAGTGTCTCACTGAGTGAGTGTCTCACTGAGTGAGTGTCCCACTGTGTGAATGTCTCACTGAGTAAGTGTGCCACTGAGTGAGTGTGGCAGTGAGTGAGTGTGGCAGTGTAAGTGTGCCACTGAGTGAGTGTGGCAGTGAGTGAGTGTGGCAGTGTAAGTGTGCCACTGAGTGAGTGTGGCAGTGAGTGAGTGTGGCAGTGTAAGTGTGTCACTGAGTGAGTTTGCCACTGAGTGTGGCAGTGTAAGCGTGCCACTGAGTGAGTGTGCCACTGAGTGTGGCAATGTAAGTGTGTCACTGAGTGAGTGTGCCACTGAGTGTGGCAATGTAAGCGTGCCACTGAGTGAGTGTGCCACTGAGTGTGGCAGTGTAAGCGTGCCAATGAGTGAGTGTGTCACTGAGTGAGTGTGCCACTGAGTGTGGCAATGTAAGTGTGTCACTGAGTGAGTGTGCCACTGAGTGTGGCAGTGTAAGCGTGCCACTGAGTGAGTGTGCCACTGAGTGTGGCAGTGTAAGCGTGCCAATGAGTGTGTCACTGAGTGAGTGTGCCACTGAGTGTGGCAATGTAAGCGTGCCACTGAGTGAGTGTGCCACTGAGTGTGGCAATGTAAGTGTCTCTCTGAGTGAGTGTGCCACTGAGTGTGGCAATATAAGTGTGTCACTGAGTGAGTGTGCCACTGAGTGTGGCAATGTAAGTGTCTCTCTGAGTGAGTGTGCCACTGAGTGTGGCAATGTAAGTGTGCCACCGAGTAAGTGTGCCACCGAGTAAGTGTGGCCGTGAGTGTGCGTGGGTCGGACCGTGACGCCGAGCGCGGGGAAGTTGACGCGGAAGCTCCTCTGCGTGGCGAGCGTCTGCCCGGTCTCCCCCACGCGCCCCGTCACCGTGAAGAGCATCGCGCACTGGTCCACCAGCGACTGCAGGTACTCGCTCGCGCTCACGGGCAGGCTCAGGGTGCACTCTGCGCACACAGGGAGCACCGGGGAGTTATGATCACAGTTGCCTCTCTGTACGTTCTTCCCGTTGACTCTGTAATCACAGGGGCCATCCGACGGAGGTGCCCGATCGATGGCCCGTGCCCGCGCGTTCGTGCGCGTGCGTGCCCGCGTGTGCTCGCTCACCCTCCCCGGGCGCGAGCTGCACCTCCCAGGAGTGCTGCTTGACGCGGCCGCGCAGCACGCCCGTGTAGTGCATGCCGTGCGCAGCGCAGAAGAGCACCACGGTGCGCGTCTCGTCGGCGTCGAGGTTGGCCAGCTCGAGCGTCACCGCAAAGTCGCGGCCTAGCGCCACCTCGTCGACGGGCGGCTTCACCAGGAGGCGGACGTCCTGGGCGGTGCCCGGAACCTTGTAGATGTTCGCCTTGGAGCCCTGCGAGCACGCGGTCTCTACGGCAATGCGCTCCTCCTTGGAGCCTGGCGGGACGAACCGTGCCGGAGAGGGGGGGGGGGGGAGGAGGATGGTTTTATGAGTGCCGCTGCTGCTGTTGTTGGCAGTGGTGCACAAGCACGACTACCGCATACCTCTCAACCCCTGATCAGCGACCTACCTTGTTACAGACCAATTCAGACAATATTGGCCACACGGTGCCCTGTTAAGCCTACGAAGTCACATCATCAAAAGGGAGACACACAAAGAAACATACGAATAAAAAATGTTGTTGCCCGTGTTGAAACGGATGTCCGCCGCTTGGACCTGAAAACTCAATTTCCCTGTTCAAGAATATGGGTAAAGCCTATGGGTTGGCATCTGTGGGTTGACTGACAGCTGTGGGTTGACAGCTGTGGGTTGACAGCTGTTGGTTGACAGCTGTGGGTTGACAGCTGTTGGTTGACAGCTGTGGGTTGACAGCTGTTGGTTGACAGCTGTGGGTTGACAGCTGTTGGTTGACAGCTGTGGGTTGACAGCTGTTGGTTGACAGTTGTGGGTTGACAGCTGTTGGTTGACAGCTCTGGGTTGACAGCTGTTGGTTGACAGCTGTGGGTTGACAGCTGTTGGTTGACAGCTGTGGGTTGACAGCTGTGGGTTGACAGCTGTGGGTTGACAGTTGTGGGTTGACAGCTGTTGGTTGACAGCTGTGGGTTGAAAGCTCTGGGTTGACAGTTGTGGGTTGACAGCTGTTGGTTGACAGCTGTGGGTTGACAGCTGTTGGTTGACAGCTGTGGGTTGACAGCTGTTGGTTGACAGCTGTGGGTTGACAGCTGTGGGTTGACAGTTGTGGGTTGACAGCTGTTGGTTGACAGCTGTGGGTTGACAGCTGTTGGTTGACAGCTGTTGGTTGACAGCTCTGGGTTGACAGCTGTGGGTTGACAGCTGTGGGCTGACAGCTGTGGGTTGACAGCTGTTGGTTGACAGCTGTTGGTTGACAGCTCTGGGTTGTGGGTTGACAGCTGTTGGTTGACAGCTGTGGGCTGACAGCTGTGGGTTGACAGCTGTGGGTTGACAGCTGTGGGTCGACAGCTGTTGGTTGACAGCTGTTGGTTGACAGCTGAGGGTTCACAGCTGTGGGTTGACAGCTGTGGGCTGACAGCTGTGGGTTGACAGCTGTGGGTTGACAGCTGTTGGTTCACAGCTGTGGGTTGACAGCTGTGGGCTGACAGCTGTGGGTTGACAGCTGTGGGTTGAAAGCTCTGGGTTGACAGCGGTGGGTTGACGGGTGTTGGTTCACAGCTGTGGGTTGACAGCTGCGGATTGACAGCTGTTGGTTGACAGCTGTGGGTTGACAGCTGTGGGTTGACAGCTGTTGGTTCACAGCTGTGGGTTGACAGCTGTGGATTGACAGCTGTTGGTTGACAGCTGTGGGTTGACAGCTGTTGGTTGACAGTTGTGGGTTGACAGCTGTGTGTTGACAGCTGTTGGTTGACAGTTGTGGGTTGACAGCTGTTGGTTGACAGCTGTTGGTTGACAGCTGTGGGTTGACAGCTGTGGGTTGACAGCTGTTGGTTGACAGCTGTTGGTTGACAGCTGTTGATTGACAGCTGTGGGTTGAAAGCTCTGGGTTGACAGCTGTTGGTTGACAGCTGTTGGTTGACAGTTGTTGGTTGACAGTTGTGGGTTCACAGCTGTGGGTTGACAGCTGTTGGTTGACAGCTGTTGGTTGACAGCTGTTGGTTGACAGCTGTTGGTTGACAGCTGTTGGTTGACAGCTGAGGGTTCACAGCTGTGGGTTGACAGCTGTGGGCTGACAGCTATGGGTTGACAGCTGTGCTAATGAACAAGTCGACACAGTTGTCAACAACAGCACCGTGTGTGCGGCCTTAAAACCCGGTCCTGGGCCTCCCCTAGGTCGACTCAGCCTCAAGTGAGTACCTGGTGCGGTGTGTAAACATCGACGCTGGGGAGACAAAGGCGGCCGGTCGTGGTGCTGGTCACCCACCACCTCGTGTGCCGTGCCGCCCTTCATAGGTGCTCGCTAACAGCACTTGCCCCAACAGTCTGTTAAGGCTAGACAGGGGATCTTTGTCTTTGGCCCTTAAAGAAACGAATTTAATAGGCGACGTTTTGGGCAATTGCCCTTCTTCATAGCACACGAATGTGCAGTGTAAGTCGACGGGCAATGTCGGTCTGTTTAACAAGTGACCAATATTATCCATACTTGAGGTTTTTGGGTTAGATCGCGTAAACATAAATGTGACTTATTCTTTGGGTCTTTCAGTAAAGTCACGTAGATAGGTTTAAAGAAAATAACAAAAAACCACGACGTTTCAATCACAACACAAGCAATCGTTAGACGATCACAAACAAGCGATCGTCAGACCATCACTTGTGTTGCGATCGAAACGTCGTCGTTTTTTTTTGTTATTTTCTTTCAACCTATCTACGTGACTTTACCGAAAGACCCAAAGAATGTCAATTCCTGCAGTTACGAAAGTTTTAAGTAAAGATTCATAAATGTGTCGTTAAACCCACCACCACCCGACACAGCTAATTAGTAAGGTTTGTCACGTAAACAAAAAATGCCAATTCGTTACTAGTTCAGCACACCGGTTGTGTTGGAGAGTAAACCCACCACAACAATTACAATTCAAGTACGACGTTTCGCCAGTAATTACAACCGGCATCATCAGGCGACAGCCCGAGCTGTGGAGAAATCCTCCTCCTCTTTCGGTCTTAAATCGAGGAGGAGATAAACGTGATGTCGTCAATTGTGAACCAATCAGGTGCGAAGGCCCGAGAGGGGGAGGGGGTTAATGCATGCATCTACATCACAATGGATACCCATTACCGGTTGGGTTATTCATATGGTAATCAACACACATTGTGAATGCACATTATGCATGTACGTGCTTCCGTTTTTGGGTGCAAGAAATCGCAGTATCTGTCATCGTCTGCCCACAGTTAATCACCATCGACATATGGTGACCTGTTTTGGCATGCAGTTAAACAGTGTAGTATTACTTGGTAATTAGCTTCCAAGCAGCACTCAGCCTGTAGCTATCAGAACGGTTAAATTAAATGTGTATTCTCTCAAATTGGATAGATTATCTAATTAGTCTTGGCCAGTCGTAACTAGTTTTGCATAGAACTTCAACATTGTCTAAATCAATTGAGTGTCCTTGTTGGCACACGTGGTCTGCCACTGCCGACAGTTGTATTTTGATTATTTTATATTCCTTTGGTGTTCTTTTAGTCTCACACTGATCATTTGTCCTGTCTGGCCAACATAGCATTTGTCAAAGGAGCAATGAATACAGTACGCACCTTCGGCTGATCGCTTCGGTAACCCATCTTTAGTACCAAATATAAAATGTTGTATGTTGTGTACCATGCCAAATCTCACTCGGATGTTTGGTTTTTCCCAAAAAACTGGCTAGTTTATCAGTTACCCCCCCCCCCCCCCCCGCAATGTACGGTATGATAATTGTTTTTTTTACCCTTTTATCTGGCAAAAAAACCTTTTTTTTACAAGGAGTCATGTTTGCTTGACCACAATACCTGCGGTCGGAATGCAAACAAAAAACACAACTCTGATAATGTATTGGCACTGTCCTTGAAATTGATTGGTCCACCCCCGAGACAGCTTTCCTTAGAGCCTAGTCTCACGTGGTGTTGGACCAGATGACGCCAAAAGGCGCACAACTCAAAGACAATGCACCATCAGAGTATGAGAGCTCGAGGTATTGTCTTTGAGTTGTGCGCCTTTTGGCGTCATCTGGTCCAACACCATGTGAGACGAGGCTCTATTTAAAGCTGTCTCAGTGCATACATTATTAGAGTTAAATTTCGATTTAAAGCTTTTGTGACTGCAAGGATTCATCTTTTTTGGTTCTTTCGGTAAAGTCACGTAGAATGAGAATAAAGTAATAAATTAATAAAATAAAATAACATAATCAAATTATCACGACGTTTCGGCCACAACACAAGTGGCCTTCTTCAGGTGAAAGGAACAGACCTGTCGGGACGACAGAGCTTCAATGAACGTTGTTAAGATTCGTAGCGTCTTTTAAGCTGGTTTAGAGAAGTGAGGCACCTTGACAAAGGGGTTTACATTCCGACTGCAGGTACCGTGGTCAATGCAAAAGGTGTCAGTTTTGTTGCCAGATAAAAGGGTAAAAAAACAATTATCATATTTTGCTACTGGCAGAGGAAGTTCCAATGGTGAATGTACGGTATTTTAATAGTTTTAATTGCCTGACCTGTTGCAACGCTTGTGCTGTTTGATTTGGTGTTGGCATTCAGTGCCCTGCCGATTTGTGCATCATTGTAACCGTTCAATTGCAGCGCTTCTTTAACATGTTTAATCTCACTCCTCAGATTTTCACCGTCTGACACTTTCTAAGACCGATGTATGAGCGTCTTGATTAGAGAGGATTTCTGTGCGGGGTCAGTGTGCGTTTTCTTTTTTGGTTAACGCCGTGTTGTCATTTTACCGTTTCGGCCGTGCCCTAGCAGAATATCCAGAAATTACAGATTTATATCAACCTCCACTTGCATGGCGAACTGGATGGACGGGTTTAGCGAGTTGAGATTATTTCGAAATGTATTAAGTGTATCTTTGCCTGGTGGCCAGCCAAACCACCAACGTGTAATCCACATATCTAAAACAAGCAGAGGGTTGTCGTGCGCTTGAAGCTATTGCTTTTGCTTCAAAGTCTTCCATGTACAAATTCGGCATTGCAGGAGACAAAGGAGAGCCCATTGCTGCTCCTTTCTTTTGTTTATAGGAATCACATTTCCACAAGCAACATGTGTTCTTTCGATAGTGCTCAGCTAGTCGTAGGATATCTTCGACAATACCCGTGTTAGTTACCAGAGTAGCGAGTCGTTTAATTGACTCATCCACCGGAACCAGGGGTGGAGCCAGGATTTCAGGCCGGGGTGACATTAAACAAATGTTAATTTCAAGAATGATTAGAGAGTCAGGCTGTTGAACTAGACGCCATCGGTTGGCGACACACTCTGACAAAGCAGTTGCACGGAGTCCGCCAGACCGAGTGTCGTACACTTATACGCAGAATGTCACCCCTGTCACCCCCCCCCGGCTCCGCCCCTGACCGGAACCCTCGTGAACAGAGAAGTCACATCAACACTTACCTGAATGTCATTAGGGTTAAGCTTAATATCTTTAATGATATTTACAAGATGTCCTGAGTTTTTAAAGAAGAAGATGTCCTGCCGATGTAGGGCTGTATTTGTTTTGTTACGTATTGTGCTAATTTGTATGTGGCAGAGCCCATTGTACTAACTATGGGTCTAAAATGGGACTTCAGGATTGTGAATCTTTGGCAGCCCGTAACGTCTTGGTGGTTTTGACGCCCTTTGTTTGAGCAGGTATTGCTCTTCCTTCAGAATTGTTGACTTGGCAATGATGGCAGTAGTCTGATGTTCCAAGGTATTGGTAGGATATCGTTTAATTTTAAGGTAGCTACCTACCTATTCCCAAGGAAGAGCAATGCCTGATAAAACCAAGGGCGTCAAAACCAGCAAAACTTTATAGGCTGCCCAAGGATTTAAATCGGCTCGCGTGCAGATGCTGTGCGGGTTGTCGCATCGCAGGATGGTGGAAGGTGCAGGAGGTCTTCATCTAGCAGTGGATTGACCATGACTGATGATGTAAAAATAGGTATCTTGATTGAAGTTCATCGTATGGGGCCTGGGCAATGATAATGACGGTGATTGAACAAAGGAAGGTTTGGACCATTATTTACTGATGATTGATTGTGATGCTGATGATGGTTGTGATAGGTTCAACGAGGGTAATGGTGATGATTGAGTGATGATTGGATGAAGATAATTGAGTGTGATGAGTTATGACTGATAATCACGATTGCTGTAATAATGCTAAAGGTGGTAATAATGATTGAGTGACGTTTACATTACAGTTATGAGCAATGGTTAGATGTCGGTGGTGATAATCGAGTGATGAATAGATGATAATGATGACGACCGGATGATGATGACGAATTCTTGAATGACAATGGTGATTGATGACGATTGACGAGGTTGTTCCGTGATGAGGCTGAAGGGGGGGGGGGGGGGGGGGGGCGCACCCTCTGGGTGTTTGTAGAGGCCGGTGATGTCCTCTCTCTCGTGCGAGCCCACGGCCTTGGTGCTGATGCAGTGCCCCACCGCCTGCTTGTCCACGCTGAGCACGGAGAACTCCCCTCCAGGCTGCTTCATCCAGTACACGCGGTCGCTGTTCACCTGTCAATCGACACCATACCAGAACGCGACTACTGCCATGCGACGAAGTAGGAAAGTGCTATACCCACCCCCTTCACCCCCCCCCTCTCCCGCCACCTAACCAACTACGTGGACCAGGGGTCACATGAAGGGTTCTCGGAGGTAGCTCTGTAATATCCGCTTCCGCGGATCGTTCTCTAACACTGGGGGATTTATTTGCACCGGGATTGTCGGACTCGGCACCTCACGTCCAGCCTTCTGTTCCACGCCTCGCTACGGCTGCTAGTCACGTACCACCTAAATTAAACTAAGCTATTGTTTTTTTTTATTTTACCAGGTAAGGTCCACTGAGCTATATATATTTTTTGAGAAGTGACCTGGCCACAAATAATCGCTCAATGAAGTGACTTATCACATGGAAATGTATAGCAACCAAATACTCTAAACGCGTGATGTTGATTCTAAACTTGGAGGGGAAAACCTGGAGACCCGGAGCAAAATCCACACAACCACAGGGAGGACATGCGAACTGCAAATATACAGGCGTCAGGGTCAGAATCGAACCCAGTACCTCCTGCATACCCGACGAGGTATTGAACATCTCGCCTACTGGTCAAGGCTAACCAGCGGCCCGGGATTCATGTTCCGTACCCGGCATACCACATCCAGTATTCCTCTCGCTACGGCTGTGGCTTCTTCAGTTTACCTACCAGCGACCAGGAAAAAATGTTTAGTTCGACATTAAGCCCTGGTTGAACTGCTCTGCGTGATTCCCGAACTGATCCCCCCATTGCCCCCCTCCCCCCGCTTTCCCAGGACACGGTGCCGATACCCGCAGCGTGGACCACATTGGGGAAATAAAAAACGAGAATATATTTTAAATGCGAATATAAATAAATAAAAATAAAGGGCACGAGCCCTGTTACCTCTGCGAACACGAAGGGAGCGTCGTACTTGTGCTGCACCTGCCCATCCCGCACCGCGTTCACGGACGCGGGGCCACACCGGTAGAACCCTGGGAACCACGTGGGGAGGGAGAGGAGTGGGGGTGGAGCAAGGAGGGGAGGAGGGGGGGTGCGGGGAGTGAGGGGAGGCGTTCAGGATGAACCTGTACTCGATATGTAGCGAGTGGTGCACTCTTCGCAGCTGTCAGACTAAAAATGTGCCAATGTACTCGTGAAAATGATTGGTTAATCAGTGCGCGTATGGTGTACATACTTCACCACGCCAGCCAACGTGGCTTCGTAAAGTGGGAAGTATCCAGGGCCGGTGCAGATAACAGTCCAGTGCACGTGGATGTTCAGAACTGACAAAACGCCCCCCTTATGATTGCCCACGTGGGGGCAACTATGGGGGCCATGCGAGGATTTAGGGCCACGTGGGAGGGGGTTAGAGAGGGGGGTGGGACGAGGTGGGGTTGAGGGGGGGTTTGTTGGTTGTTGTGGGGGGCTCACCTAGACTGGTCTCCTGGGGGGTCGTGTCGATCACCTGCCACCCCCCGTATCCCATCGGGAGGTCAGGCCGGGCCATCCAGCACTCGTTCCACACGTGGAAGTTCCTGTGAAACAAGGACGCATCAGCATCATCATCAGTAGCAGCACTAACATCATCATCATCAGCTGCAGTATCAGCAATAGCAACAGTATTAGCATCACCATCAGCAGCAGGTGCATCAAATGTAAAAGCGGCACCAACACTTTCAGCAGCTGCAACAGGAGCAGTAACAGTTGCTTCAATTAATTATAAATCGACAAGGATCAATTAGAGACATCAAGAGACAATTCGACACGCAGACAACGTAACGAGCACACAGAGAGACAAGCCAACACACAGGCAGACAAACAACTCGAAAGACAGACACGGGGACGAGACAGAAAATCCAATAGGCAAAGACATCTGCAGGCAGGCAGTCGGAATGCGTGTACCAGATGGAGTCCGTGTTGAGGTCGTCTATCGGCTTCATCTTCTCGTCCACGTAGACGTCGGTCGTGAGGCTCACGTCCGTGTCGTGCGCCGAGCAGAAGTTGGTGACGCTGCGACACGGGATGCCCAGGCAGCGCATCACTGTGGGCACGGCGTGGCGCGGGCGGGCAGGGGCACGGGTGGACAGGGCACGGGTGGGCAGGGCAAGGCAGGGGTGGACAGTGGTTTAGGGTGGGCGGGGCGGCGGCGGCGAGCAGTGCGGGTCACGGCGCTGCGGTTGCAATGTCGTGACGCGGTGGAGTTCAGTGTCGTGACGGCGTGGTGGATCGCGGTGCGACGCAGTGCGGTGCGGCTGCGGTTGAGCTTGGCGCGGCCAGGTGTGGCGTGGTGGCGCGTGCTGGGGCGAGGTGCGGCGAGGTGCGGCGCTTCCACACCGGTGGTGGTGACCCCGGAGAAGACCCAGCACTGGCCGAAGCGAACGGGCGCGGGCCGCGCTCCTTTGTGGTAGCCCAGCAGGATCTCGGCACTGCCGGTCCACGCGGCCGGCGAGGTGCCCTCGGTGTAGTCCCCGGACCAGTTCCCCTCCAGCACTCCGCTGTCGTCCTGCGAATTGACCTGCAGCGAGCGCGCGTTTCGCGAGCCAAGTGAGAAACGGTGGCGCACCGCGCTACGAGCGCCGCGATCCGAGTCTCCTCTGGGTCGACTCGGTCTGAAATGGACACCTGCTGTGTAGAGGGCAGCACCGCGTACATCGGTATTGGGGAGACAAAGGCGGCCGGGGCGTCGTTCTGGCCACACAACCGCACCGTGTGCCACGCCGGGACTTAATAGGTGCTCGTTGACAGCGCTTTCTCCACACATGTGCATTAGGGCGTACATACGAGGGCAGCTCCGTCTCAGTATTGGCACCCGGGAAGGGTCTCGAGCACTGAACTACTGTACGAACTAAAACAATCTCGAGTTCGATTCCCAGGCAGGGCTCACAAACATCAGTGCCGTGGGATGTATTCGACTCGGTCCTCGGCTCCACCCCTTCACCAATCCGCTTGCGACCAGCGCGGTGAAGTATGGTCTCTCGGCGCTCGTCCTGCACATGCGGCGCAATGCCGGATGTACAATCGTGTTCAGACGTTGGGGGGAAGGCGAGGGGGGGGGGGGGAGTCTCGTGTTTTTACTCACGATGCCACACACGACGCGCGCCACGTTCACGGGGTCGTTGCGTCCGTACAGCGGCATGTTGGCGCGGTCCAGCAGGTGCAGGCACGTGTCAAGTATGCCCTTCCCGAACTGAGTAGGAGGAGGAGGAGGAAGAGAGGGCGCGAAGTGGGGTGGAGGGGAGGTTGGGAGGAGGAGGGGGAGGTGGACGATGATAACGTTGGTGATGATAGTGAAGTAAAAAACTAAAAATTAACTATTTTTATTTCACCAGATTAGACCCACTGAGGTACACAGGTATTTTTTCAGAAGCGACCTATCCACAAATGATAGCCCAAAAGAAGTGGCTTATCTGGTTGACATTTATAGCAGCCACATACTCGAATGGCAAGTTTCTAAATGTAGAGGTAAAACGCGAAGGATCCGGAGAACAATCGACGCGAACACGGGGAGGACACGCAAACTCCAAATATACAGGCGTCAGCATCGGGATCGAACCCACGGTTTCCTGTATATCAAGCGATGCAGTTAACATCTCACCACCGTGGCGTTCGATGGATAACACTGATGATGATGATAACGGTGTGTTATGGTGACAATGGTGACGGTGGTGGCTGATGATGATAATGATGGGGAGAAAGACCTGTCCGAAGACCCATGGCCTCGCGCTGATCTGCTCCTTTGTGCCATAGTAGATGAGCCCCGTCTCCCGCAGCACGTACTCCTGTCTCTCCTCCTCGCTCTCCATGTACACCGTGTCCTCTACGCGCAGCAGCGGCATCGTCAGCATCAGCATCGTCATCCGCTCGGACATCACCGCCATCCGCATTGGATCTCCACCATCGTTCCACCCTCCTCCCCGGCCCTCTATGCTCTGCCTTGACCCTCCTCCTACGCCCTACTCTTTCTTGCTCCTTCTCCTTAACTATCATCATCATCCTTCACTCTTCCCTAATTCTCCACATTCCTCCTTTCTCCTCCTGCCCTCACTCCCCCTCACCCTGCTCCTCCTCGTCCTCACTCCTGCATATTCCTCCTCCCTTCCCTCACTTTCCCCACTCCTCCACCCGCGCTCGTCATCCCCGGGCCTCCTCAATAGCTCTCTCAATAATAGGGTTTTTCCCCTTTTTTCTGGCAACAAAACTGAAACCTTTTTACAAGGATTCACGTCTGCATTAACCACAATACCTGCAGTCAAAATGCAAACAAAAAACACACTATGATAATATATGCATTGTCCTTGTAACTGATTGGTCCACACCAAGGGACGGCTTTCTTTTGAGCCTCGACCCAATTGGTGCTCGACCAGATGACGCCGGTACTGGCAAAGGAGGTCTAATGATGTAGTTCTCTCATCGTTGTTGACCCCCCCCCCCCACACACACATTTCCCCCTCAGCCCCACCTCCCCACCCCACGTCACCGCCCTACTGCCTCACCGCGGCACCACGGGTTGAAGAGGATGTAGACGCTGAGTGGCTCTCGCTTGGAGCGCACCTCCTCCACCGCGGTCTCGCTGTGTGCGCACGCGGCCACCTCGTACCGCGCCACCACGGAGCGCGGGCACGAGCGCACGAGCACGTGCAGCGCGCGCTCCTCCTCGCGCTCCACCACGGCGCTCCACCCGCCCCCCTCCTCCCCCCCACCCTCCTGCCGCTGGCCTTCCGCGCCTCCGTCCCGCTGGCCTCCCGCGCCCTCCTGCTGCTCAGGCGGCAGCTCCCAGCGCAAGGGGACCTGGATGAGTGTCCCTTTGCGCAGCTGCGGGGACAGACCTGCGTGGTAGGATGAGGAGTGAGTGGGTGAGGGGGGAGGGGTACGGGTACGGCCAGAGAGAGGGGGGTTATAATAATCATCAGTATCATCAGCATCATGAGCATCATCAGCATCATCAGCAGCATCATCAGCAGCATCGTCAGCATCGTCGCGACCCACCACCACCGCCAGTAGAATCTTCTGCATTCGTGTCGTGAGTGTCGTTATTGTTCGTGAGCGGCGTCGTCAGCATCCGCAGCGTCGTTATTATCATCAGTAGGAGCTTCCGCATCATCAGCATCAGTAGCAACCTACTCATCAGTATTAGCAACAGCGTAATCATCATCCTTGTCACCAACATCATCACCATTAACATAATTCCAATCATTCTGTCACAATTATCCCTATCATCCTCAAAATATGTCCACCCCCATCATCATCCAAACCTCACTAAATTTACTGCATTCGGGAATTAACCCCATAACACCTCGATCCTTCCCACAATCACCTCCATGATCCACCAGCATCACCACCCTCATCATTCTATCAACTTCATCATCATCATCATTAACGCCTTATCACCTCATTCCCCAGCATCATCACCGTTATTCTATCACCATCCAAAACATCCTTCATCAATGGAAAATTAAGAAAGAGTCCGCAATGTGACTGCTGTGGTCACCGGAGCCAGACCATGGATCAGTTGATCCCACACTGCCCGTGTCGACGATTCACGGGCATAATCACCGACGATCCACCCAGCCTCCAGTGAGGCCACTGAATGGCTTAATAACTTCGATATCCACAAATAGATAACGTTCCTAATTTCACCTTGGTAAACGACAGATCATTACCACCCTCATCATCGCTTTCGCCCATCACCTCTATCATTATGATGATTACAACATAACTTCCCACCGTCACTCCCCCACTCCACTCCAGCCCGCCGGGTCCCGTCGCTGTCCATTCACCAGTTCTGAATTCTATGACCCCCTCCTCGCCACCCACAGCGCCCCGTTGCTGTCTACCGACCCGCTGCTGAACTCTACCGCCCCCCCCCACCACGCCCAGTTGCTGTCCACCTACCAGTGCTGAACTCTACCCCCACGCACCGCGCCCAGATGCTGTCCACCGACCCGGTGCTGAACTCTACCCCCACGCACCACGCCCAGATGCTGTCCACCGACCCGGTGCTGAACTCTACCCCCACGCACCGCGCCCAGATGCTGTCCACCGACCCGGTGCTGAACTCTACCCCCACGCACCGCGCCCAGATGCTGTCCACCTACCAGTGCTGAACTCTACCCCCACGCACCGCGCCCAGATGCTGTCCACTCACTGGTGCTGAACTCTACCCCCATGCACCGCGCCCAGATGCTGTCCACTCACCGGTGCTGAACTCGAGAACGATGGAGTCGTGGTGTCGCTGCACCGCACGGCTCAGCTTGAGGCGCAGGCGGAACGGGGCCCCGCGCCGCAGCACGAGCTGCGGCTGCGCGAAGCCGCCGGTGCGGTGCTCGCGCGCCGCCTCCTCCTTCCCCGCGCTCTCCACGCGCAACACGGCCAGGCGCTCCCCCACTGAGGGCCCGCACACGTGGGGGGTGGGGTGAGGTCACGACGAGGATACACGTGGGAGTTAAGTCTTTCTCTAAATACGAGAGAAGGAATGACTTACCGTAGAGTATTGTAATGTCAAACACTAACCTTTTAAAATCTATATGTTTTAAAGGATTGCTTTTGGAATATACCTGCAAGGTAGTAACCAGATTTAAGTGTTCATATGTGAATTACATGTTTGTTTTTATTTGTGTTGTATCTTTTAGCACTTCATGGGACAGTGGTAATTCCGGAATGTCAAAAAATTGCCCTATTATTTGAATGTGTCTTAACTGTATTGTAATTGGCTAGCCATGATCCCTTCATCTGGTGAGAAGTCAGTTAAAAAAACTGTGAATCGATCGACTGTTTTGCAAGTAAGGTAAACTCTCATTGGAGAGTGAACTTATTGTGTATTACACTGACGTTCATTTCATATTCCTCTTTTGCACCGAATGCGACATCGCAAACGAGTGGTCGTTTTCTGTCTTATGACATATTATCTCAAAGATAAATTTTGATTTAAAGCTTTCGTGACTGCAAGGATTCATATTCTTGGTTCTTTCGGTAAAGTCACGTAGAAGGGAAACAATAAAATATATAACCAAGAATATCTCAAAGATACTTTGTGTTCATTACATTCCCTAACCCAAAGATACTTTGTGTTTATTACATGCCCTAACCCAGGATTCGGCAACCAGAATAAGAAGAGCCGTTATTTTCGAATTCGATCAAAAAACCCCCCACAATATTTCCACCAACCGGTGCTGAACTCTACCCCCACACACCGCGCCCAGATGCTGTCCACCGACCAGTGCTGAACTCTACCCCCACACATCGAGAGCCGCAAAGCACGTGAATAACGCGTCACGAAGCAGTCCTCAAAGAGCCGCAGGTTGCCGACCCCTGCCCGAGCCGTATGCCCTCAAAATGTACTTACATCGACAAATGACAACTTTGACTCGCACATAAAACCTGGCAAGGTATGCAGGAGACCAGAGGATAACAACGGAGCAGCTTGCCCCTCGAGTTTAGGGGGACACGCGGCTATAAAGGTGACGTCACAGCAGCCATTCTGTGACGTCACCATCTAGAGCCTGTTCTCTGACACACATACAAATACAAAGACCCCCCCCCATATAGCCTTTAAAAGACTGTTGTGACAAGTTTTTTTCACGAGCACCTATGACAGCCAGCACGGCACGCAAGGGGGTGGGTGGCCAGCACCACGACCGGCCGCATTTAGTCTCCCTAGTGGCGATGTTTACACATCACACCAGGTATTAATTCGAGTCTGAGTCGATCTACGAGAAGCCCCCGACCGGTTCAGATAATCGTCACTTGTGTTCGGAATCGAACTCTGGTCGCCGGGTTCGTAGCGCAGCGTGCTAACCGCTGCACCGCCGCTCACCCACACCGCTCCCCAGATACACATGCACACAAGCTGGTGCACTGTTGAGCTGCGAGGGTTTTTATTTATTTATTTATTTGCAGTATTGCAAACTGCTTCGTGTCGTGGCTTGTAACTGACAGCGATTACAATATACTTGACAGCGAGAGAGAGAAAACAGCACAAGTCCCTGTTGGTGGCCCAGAGCCAGTGAACCTGTCAGGTGGCCCAGAGCCAGTGAACCTGTCAGGTGCTCGTGAAGGGATGCGGGCTGGGACGGGTGGGAGATTTACCGGTGGAGGAAGGTATAGGGAGAGTGCGTGAGTGATACAAATTATGGAGCAAGTCAGCGAGTGAATGACGCAATGAGTGAGTTATATAGTAATCTAGTGATTTAATTAGCGAAGGAGTAAATAAATAATGTATTGAGTGAGTCAGTTTTGCAACGAAAATGTGAGTTGGTGAGTGATGAAATCGGTGAAATTATGGAAGAAATGATTAATTCAACTATGGAATGGGCGGGTGAGCGATGCAATAAATTAATGGGTGAGTGAGAGATGCATTGATCTATTGAGCGAGTGGGTGAATGAATGAATGAGGAAGTGATGAAATCAGAGTGAGTGTGTGAGCCTTGAATGGGGTGATGTATTTATTGACCTAATGGTGGAGTGCATGAATGAGTAAGTCCGTGTTCGAGCGAGAGCAGTATATGCGATAGAGTGGACGATGCAATTACAGAGTGAGTAATTCACTGAATGTGATAGACTGTCTGAACGAGTGACCAAGTGACGGGATGACTGCACGATTGATTAAGTAATTGACCGATTAATTATGCGACGTACTGACTGAATGAGTGACTAAGTGAAGGCCTGAATGACTGAGTAACCATGTGATGGAATGAAGGACTACGCCGCTGAGTGAATGAATCAGTAACTACGCGATCGACCGACTTATTTGCTAACTATAATATTTACTGAACGAACGACGAAGCACTTGATTGTCTGAACGCTAAGCGACTGTCTTGACTTCGTGAATGAAGACATTGGGTGAATGACAAAGCCGTAGACTGCACAGAACGCGTGAGCTAGTGAGCGCACTAGCGGGCGCGCGAGTGAACGACTCGTCTCGACCGAGCCTCCCTTGACACTCACGCAGCTCGGTCTCCTCCTCGGCCCCCTCCTCCTCCGCGGCGTGCTGATTCTTCGCGGAGCTGAGCGGTGCCGTGTGGTCGTCCTCGCCTCCCGGGGCACGGCGCGCGGGCAGGCAGCAGCAGCACAGGCGGCGAAGCGAGTGGCCCTTACTGGGGGCAGTCCGCCCGGGGGGGAAACCGATGCCCGGGAACTGCCCCGAGCCAACCGGGCTGGGGCACACGGACGAGAGGCGGTGGCGCCGTCCCTCCGCGTACTGCCGACCCAGCTCCTCGCGGTCAGCCATCGAGAGAGGGACCCCAACGATGGGGGTGTTTGATTTAAACAGGGGGGAAGAAGGCGGGGGAGGGGGGGTAGGGTGGCAGGCACCGGGCCTGGGAACGTCGAGTCCACCGGCCTGGGAACGTCGAGTTAACCGGCGGCACTCGGTGCGCGTGCGCTTTACCTGCACGGTGGAGGGCGAGGAGGCAGTGCCGAGGAAGGCAACGGGGCGCGACTCCTCATTCCAACTCCACCCTAGAGAGAGAGGAAGGGAGGGGGGCTCAGGATGCCCCCCCCCCCCACGGGGAGAGGGGAGGGGTGGGAGCAGGACGGGTGACGGTGGAGTGAGAGGGCACGATGTCTGGGGGTTGAACTGTAGTGTCGTGGCTGACGCATTGCGAAGGCCGATAACGGTACACGAGGGGGTGGGTGGCCAGCACCACGGCCGGCCGCCTTTGTTTCCCCAGTGGCGATGTTTACACACCGCACCAGGTACTCATTTGAGGCTGAGTCGACCTAGGGGAGGCCAAGGGCCGGTTCAAATAATCGTCGCTGGTGTTGTTCGTGAGCGGGAATCGAACTCGGGTCGCCGGGTTGGTCGTGCAGCGTGCTAACCGCAGCGCCACCGCTCCACACACGTACCCACACACACACACGTACCCACACACACACACGCGTTCCCACTCACTCTCACACACACACGTACCCACACACACGCGTTCCCACTCACTCTCACACACACACACGTACCCACACACACACACGCGTTCCCACTCACTCTCACACACACACGTACCCCCACACACACACACGCGTTCCCACTCACTCTCACACACACACACGTACCCACACACACACACACGCGTTCCCACTCACTCACACACACACACACGTACCCACACACACGTACCCACACACGCACACGCGTTCCCACTCACTCTCACACACACACACGTACCCACACACACACACGAACCCACACACACACGCGTTCCCACTCACTCTCACACACACACACGTACCCACACACAGACACGTACCCACACACACACACGTACCCACACACACACGTACCCACACACACACGTACCCACACACACACGTACCCACACACACACGCGTTCCCACTCACTCTCACACACACACACGTACCCACACACACACGTACCCACACACACACGTACCCACACACACACGTACCCACACACACACACGCGTTCCCACTCACTCTCACACACACACGTACCCACACACACACACACACGTACCCACACGCACGCGTTCCCACCCACTCTCACACACGCAGACAACCACGCCCACATTGGCCACGCATTCAGCACAAATCACTCAACATTCGCCGCCTGTTTGTGTAAAGAATTACATTTATTCATTTATTTTACTCCTTAAATAATAAAAAAACCCGATCAACAAATAGACACTCTCAAGTTCGATAACAACGTATGGCTATCACCCAAAGTGGACAACTAAGGCTTAACACGCACAGCTCATTGTGCGTATGGTTCCACGGGAAATGAGGCTTGAATGTTCGTGTTGACTCGGACTGTTGGTCCGCTTGAGCGCTCCTCGCGGCTCGGCCGTGGCACGAGGTGAGGGAGGAGGCACGCGGCTCGACCGGCCGGGCGGGCGGGCGGAGCCAGGGAGCGGCCGCGTTCTTGCCGTGCCCCAACCACGACTCAAGCATACACCTCCTCCTTCACGTCCTGCTTCACCCACTGCACCTCTTCAACATCCTCCTTCACATCCTGCTTCACCCACTGCACCTCTTCAACATCCTCCTGCACATCCTGCTTCACCCACTGCACCTCTTCAACATCATCCTTCACATCCTGCTTCACCCACTGCATCTCTTCACCATCCTCCTTCACATCCTGCTTCACCCACTGCACCTCTTCAACATCCTCCTTCACATCCTACACGTTCACCTCCTCCACCTGCTCCACCTCCTTCACCTCCTCCACCTCCTCCTTCACCTCGGCCTAGCTCCTCCTACATCTCAACCTTCACTCCTCCAAATATCCCGTATCTTTATTCCTCTTCCTCGAGTCCTTAAATATAAATCCTTCCTCCTCGACGTTCTCGTCGCTAGCGTCCCGCTACTCCACCTTCACCTCAACCTCTTCCACCTCCTCCGTTTAATCTTGCTGCTCCTTACAAACCCCCTTTTCTCCTAAACTCTCCGTGTGGCAAGGATTGGCAAAACTCCAGACAAACACGAGACCCGTCACCCGTTTTCCAATATGCTCTTCCGTTCAAATAGCAAGTGAGCACGCCACACGTGCCCGATGATTGCGTGAGCACGCTGATTCAAATGAAGAGCGCTCCCTCGACGTCACTCGGAACACAAAGACAAAGATCCCCCCGCCCCGCGTTGCCTCAACAGACTGTTGGGCAAGTGCCGTTAGCAAGACGAATACGGCGCACGAGGGGGTGGGTGGCCAGCGCCACGCCCGGCCGCCTTTGTCTCCCTTGGTGGCGATGTTCACGTCGTCGTCGGCAGTCCCTGGGGGTTAGATGATGAACGGCCCATCAGGTTTAGTGGTGGCTTGAGGTGGCTGCCGAGTCCAATTCTGCATCCGCAGATCATTGGGCATTGAGGGCGCCACGCGCTGAGCCCAGATGTAAGTGAGGTCCGCAGTGCAGGGTTGGTTTCCTTTTCCTTTGGCGGCATCGAGACGTTGGGTCTAGAAAGTGGGGCCGCGGCCCGAGGCGCTGGGCAGCCTGCCTGCTGCTCCTCCCAGTCTTGAAGGCTGGTTTTTCGGCGTCTCATGGGGAACTTGAGGGTATCCTTGAACCGCTTTATTTGTGCCCCCTCCCCCCCCCCCCTTGTCCGCTGACCATCGGAGTGCTGGGAGAGAAGGATCTGGCGGGGGAGGCGGTTCTCAGGCATGCGGATGCAGTGGCCGCTCCATTGGAGTTGGTTGATTATAAGCATTGCTTCAATGCTGGTGGTGTCAGCTTGGAGGAGGACACTCGCATCGGTGGAGCGATCTTCCCACTTGATGTTTACACACCGCACCAGGTACTCATTTGAGGCTGAGTCGACCTAGGGGAGCCCCAGGAACTGCTCACATAATCGTCACTGGTGTTGGCCGGGAATCGAATTTGGCTCGCCAGGTTCATGGCGCGTTGTGCTAACCGCTCCACACGCGATATACGCACACACACATACGTGCACACACATACAAAGCTCCGCCGTGTAGCCTGTTCAGGCTATTGGGGCAAGTTCTGTTGGCGAGCACCTGTGAAGGTGACAGCACAGGACTCCCGTGAGGGGGTGATGTGGCAACAGCCACCCCTAGCAAGTGGCGGGCAACCTTACCCCGAGATCTGCCAGAACACTATCCAACCATCTGACTCTTAGGTCTTCCACTTTGCTCAGTGTATGTACTGTATGTTGACCTTTTGCACCGTACGTAGCCAACCGTGCTAATCGGAGGTGCGGGGAAGGACAACACACTAAGCAAGCAGTTCGAAATCAACTACTTTCCAACCTAGATTATTTGAAAGTGCACAGCTCCAGTGGCTTCCTAGTATGGGAAGGAAGAGCGTTCCCGACGGCCGCAGAAGAGCATCTGAAAGCCCGCGATGCGGTTGGTGATCGATGTGGTGACTCGTGGAGAACACAACTACCACCAGCACCATCACCACCAGCACCACCATCACCACCACCACCATCACCACCACCACCACCATCACCACCACCACCACCAATATTACATTCACCACCACCAGCACCATCACCACCACCATCACCACCATCACCCACCATCACCATCAGCAATATCACCTTCACCACCAGCACCACCACCATCACCACCACCACCACCAACTACCACCACCACCACAATCACCACCACCATCACCACCATCACCACCACCAGCACCACCAGCACCACCACTACCAACTACCACCATCACCACCACCATCACCACCACCACCAGCACCACCATCACCACCACCACCATCACCACCACCACCATCACCAATAACACCTTCACCACCACCAGCACCACCACCAGCACCACCACCATCACCACCACCACCACCAACTACCACCACCACCATCACCACCACCATCACCACCACCATCACCACCATCACCACCACCATCACCAATATCACCTTCACCACTATCACCACCAACGTGTCATCGTCGGTAGAGCCCATCCATCACTGTCACCATCATCACCACCAACTTCACCAAGCACTGACTTCCCAAAGGCTCTGTTGATGTGCACCTTGTCAACGGTGTTGTTCTTGATGAGATCTCCTCTCTGCCCCCCCACATACACAGGTGACGTCAGTGCGATGAGAGTGGGATGAGCCTCGCTCGAGGCGACACTACGAGGGGGAACGTCTGAGCGAGGTGATCGCCAGACCTGGCACCGAGCCAGCAGTGGGAGCCGCTGCCACGTGGCCTCCGGTTCGAGCCAGGGGGGTGTTGGAGGGATTCACCGCAGCGTTAGATAATCACCGCCACCATGATCACAACCATCAGACTCGCCACCATCGCCTCCACCTATACATACAACTCCACCACCAGCCTCTCTCGTGACATACGTGGTTGTCGTGGTGGTGGTGGAGGTTGATGTGGTAGTCGTGGTGGTGGTGGATGTTGATGTGGTAGTCGTGGTGGTGGTGGAGGTTGATGTGGTAGTCGTGGTGGTGGTGGAGGTTGATGTGGTAGTCGTGGTGGTGGTGGTTGGCGGCGTTGGTTTTCAAGTGGTGGCGGTGGTAGTTGCTGTGGTAGTCGTGGTGGTGGTGGAGGTTGTCGTGGTGGTGGTGGAGGTTGATGTGGTTGTCGTGTTGGTGGTGGAGGTTGATGTGGTAGTCGTGGTGGCGGTGGTGGTTGATGTGGTAGTCGTGGTAGCGGTGGTGGTTGATGTGGTAGTCGTGGTGGTGGTGGTGGAGGTTGATGTGGTAGTCGTGGTGGTGGTTGTCGTGGTAGTCGTGGTGGAGGTTGATGTGGTAGTCGTGGTGGTGGTGGAGGTTGATGTGGTAGTCGTGGTGGTGGTGGTGGAGGTTGATGTGGTGGTGGAGGTTGATGTGGTAGTCGTGGTGGTGGTGGAGGTTGTTGTGGTAGTCGTGGTGGTGGTTGATGTGGTGGTGGTGGAGGTTGATGTGGTAGTCGTGGTGGTGGTGGAGGTTGATGTGGTAGTCGTGGTGGTGGTTGCTGTGGTATAACAGCGGCGTCATGGCGACAGATTCATAGGGCGAGGGGATTTTAAGATGAGTCAGTGAGGGGATGAGTCAGAGAGGGGGTGAGAGTGTGAGGGGGTGAGTCAGTGAGGGGGTGACAGTGTGAGGGGATGAGTCAGTGAGGGGGTGAGAGTGTAAGGGGGTGAGTCAGTGAGGGGGTGACAGTGTGAGGGGGTGACAGTGTGAGGGGGTGACAGTGTGAGGGGGTGAGA